AGCTGCAAATCTACTGTACTTTTCCAGTGAAAACGGGTTTTCATCATGTACAACTTTGTAGATGCGTACTGGAAAAGAGCAGGGTTGTTTACTGTACAAACAACTAATTCCTAAGCCTTTTTCTGTTCACTTTTTCAGAATGATCTTACTTATAACTTTAGAATATCTTTAGTGCAATCTGCTCTATACTAGTTAAGTTAGCGAACACCATCGACAGATTGTTAGGGTCAGCTCTTAGAACTGAGTGCTCGTACTTTTTCCTAAAGTCAACACCTGTCTCAAGCTCTTACGTCATACTTGACCTAACTGGTGTAATCTAGTTTAACCTGGTATAAACCGGTTATGCGAGGTATTGTGTAAGCTTAGCCCTTAAATACGAGCTCACTCAGGGTTCAGTTCAGTGTAAGAGAGCAAGAGTGAGAGCTGATAGCACAGTGCACAGCGAAGTAGCTGCTAGTCAAGAGCCATAACCAGAGTTCAGATGAGTACATTGTAAAGTACTACAAGCAACAGAAAAAAAAGCAGAAGAAAGCAACTGAAGAACGACCCGAATCTTTCTGTCCGTTGGGAAAGTATTACTCCCCCACTTCCCCTTCCTTAGTCGGGAGAGTATACTCGCGCTAAGAAAACAATGTAGTGCATTCGATTCGATTTCACTGCATGGCTTTTATTATGGAAGTCAGTATYTTCATCTCGAATATAAAATAATTGACAATTATTTTCGATCTTATTTTTACGTAGCCTGCGTCACATTTAGGCAGTGCCTAATTATATATATTAACATTCGAGGATTTTGCCATCGATGACTCCCCTCTTACATGTTCCTATCTCTTAATCCTCGACTCTCAACACCGACAACAAGAAGGGAAGTACTGTGGCATGACTAAACCACTGCCCATAAAGATCGCAGGCAATGTATCCAATATTCGTTTCCAAGCTTCTCACTTAAGCTCTGGTTTTAAGGCTCATTATACAACACTGTAACTAGGTAACAACTGTCTTGACCTGTAACTTTAATTGATCTGGAAATGCTGAATAAAATAATGAATTATTCAACTAAATATTAATATTGTTGTTTTGTGTATTTTACTGAATACTGAATACTTTTAATAAAAGCTGACTGCATCAAAGATTGACTGTGCAGTGGTTGGCACAGGTCCAACTATGATCAAGATTATAGAGTGGGTAAAGTGCATTGTTTCTAGTAATGTGCATAGGAATCTATCCATCGTAATATTCTGTCATTATAATAACAATTATATTACACTATTTTGGAGATGACGCCTCATGCATATGTCAGCAGCGAGCTATTGTTCTGTCAGCAAAAACAAAACATCTGTAAGCAAGCTGAACTGACGAATCTAGTGAATACTAGTGGAAGAAAGACAATGCCATGGAATCCGTGCGGATCACCACGAGTTTTGTCGTCCTTTTATTGTTGTACTTCAATTCTTCTGCTTAAGGTAAGTGTTAATCAAATGAATAACCAAAAGCAATAACGCAGGAG